TCACTTCTTTTCAGATTTTCAAATAGTGTTTCACCCAGTGAATTAGATTCCTTGGTTGATTCCTTAAATTCTTCTAATACGTCGGCTGCCTTTAGTTTTTCGAAACAGTCCTCCATATATACATCTCTCAGCACGTGCCTACTATCCAAACATCCTGTGTCCATATGTCGTTTCTGGCTTGGGTGGTCAACGGAGCATCCGGAACACTTTTCGCGCGCTGCCTATCCTTCTGTGTTCAATAAACCAGAAGTGAAAAAAGAATTAGATAGATTACACGATCAGTACGTACTGGTTCCTGCCGACAAAGCAGGTAACAACATTGTCTTCGTTTGTAAGGCTCATTATATAAATTGCATTCTAGAAGAACTTGGACTTAATTCTACAAGTGGTAATCCTACTTATACATATACTTCTCTTTCTAAGGAAGAAATTCTTCAAAATCACCTGTCAGTTTTGAATACTTTTAATATTCCACAGAGCCAAAATGAATTTGAACTACCTTATATATATTGGATTCCGAAACTTCATAAGAATCCTTACAAACAAAGATACATTGCAGGTTCCAGTAAATGTTCAACCAAGCCTCTTTCGTTACTTCTCACTAAAATATTGACAGTAGTGAAGGAAAAACTTCAAGAGTACTGTACAACTATATATTCAAGAAGTGGTGTAAATCAGATGTGGATACTTAAAAATTCTAAAGAACTTTTGGACAATTTGAAATCACAAGACTTTACAAAAATCAACAGCATAAAAACTTACGACTTTTCAACTTTATACACAACAATTCCCCACGACAAATTAAAATCCAGGGTTTTTTGATATCATTGACAGCTGCTTCTTCAACAAAAATGGAACTCGTCATTGCTGATTTGAAAAATTATTTTGTTAAAACAAATTCTGATTGCACACATAAGTACTTTGAAGTTGACATCAAGAAGATGCTTGAGTTTCTGATTGACAATATCTATGTGGTTTTGGAGACCAGGTATTCCAACAATCTACTGGAATTCCCATGGGTACAAATTGCGCTCCGTTATTAGCAGACTTATTTTTATATTCATATAAAGCAGAATTTATGCAAAATCTTTTACATGAAAAGAAGAAAACACTTGCTGTGGCCTTCAACTCGACATTTAGATATATCGACGACGTATTGTCAATATTGATAATTTCCATTCCTACGTCGACACGATATATCCTGGTGAGCTTGAGATAAAAGATACCACAGAGTCCGACACTTCTGCTTCATACTTGGATATTTTACTTGAAAAAGACACTAATGGTAATCTAACAACCAAGCTATTTGATAAACGTGATGACTTTAACTTTTCTATCGTCAACTTCCCTTACTTATGCAGCAATATACCTTCATCACCTGCATACGGAGTATTTATATCTCAGTTGATTCGATACGCAAGAGCATGCTCTACGTATGAACAATTTCTTAAACGAGGTAAATTATTGACAAGCAAGTTGATGTACCAAGAATATCAACAGTCTCTTTTAGAGTCATCATTTCGTAAATTCTATGGTCGATAAAATGACCTTGTCAGCAAATACAATTTATCATTGAATGAAATGCTGACTGACGTTTTTCATACCAATTGTCAGTCCATTGTTTATACACTGAATTGACCACGGATTTTTTCCGTTATTTCCTGATTATGACAACGAGCACACGGCGGGTGTGACCAGTCGGCAGGGGATGATCACTCCTCCATGGCACCTGATCCCACCTCTGATGTTTCGGAGGTCCGTGTTTGCTCTGCTCTTATTTTGTATATCTGTTTAATGGACTTTGAGATTGAATACTGTTCGTTATTTCCCTATCCTTCTCGACTCCTTTAACTTTTAAGTGTTCCTTGATGATTTCTCTCATGGCATCCGCTGAAGGATGATCCGAGGTGGTACCGATCTTTCCACCATGGTGGTCCCTGAAGCATCGCCATTCAGTTACTGTTAGACATGTTCCGCTTTTAGTCGGGTACGGCTTATTAGCGTGAAAGAGAAATGCTCTAAAATCCAACATGATGTTCGGCGCTTCTGGAAAAAAAATTACAGTTATTCTTATCTTTCCTATTCCCTTTCGACTCAGGTCCCACGTCTTGGCATCCGTTCGCTGGTTTTTCTTTAGTAACTCTATGTGCTGGTCGATTTCTTGCAGGAGTCCGAGAAGGGTCAGAAATTCTTGGATGTAAAGACGATGTTCTTCTCCATGTAGTCGTTGTTTTGAAGCTTTTTTAGTTCTTTCTTCGTGACCCCCATTGATATGCGTTTACTTAGTTGAACTACGTCTTCCATCTTTTACAAGAAACTGTGAGGAAGGGTGGTACAACCAGGTAGTATTTATACTTATGCCTGAGCTGTCCCTTGTGCATGCTCCGTATCTTTCTAATTATAATATCCATTTGTGACAGCCCGCCGCCCGTCTCCAGAAGACGTTTATCGTGTGGATCCGGGTTAGAATAGGTCCTCAGTACCCCCTTGCTTGTCGTAAAAGGCGACTAAATGGGGCGGTCCTTCGGATGAGACCGTATAAACCGAGGCCCCGTGTCACAGCAGGTGTGGCACGATAAAGATCCCTCCCTGCTCAAAGGCCCTGAGGGCCGAGCATAGGCCTAAATTTGCAGCCCTTCACCGGCAATGGTGACGTCTCCATATCAGTGAAAAATTCTGGAGCGGGACGTAAAACAGTATACAATCAATCAATCAATCGTTCAGATGATATGTGATACTATAATCGTCGTATGGAAATATACTGTCTATGTATATAATTTCATTGTAAACTAATTGCTCTACATGTCATAAACTTTTATTATGAAACATTTATACGCATGTATGGAATTTCATAGATGTGACAGGAACGTACATTTCACCGAAATGTGCGTATACTGTGCATTTGCATGTTTCAAATACCGCATCTGACGATAGATGTGTATTAACGAAACGAAGACGTAGATTTTTATTTATGTGTATCATAAATCCAAAAACAATGGTATACGGGGAACGTATAATTTTATTGTAAAATAATTGTTCTACATGTCATATACTTTTATTATTTTTATGTTGGTTCATATTTTAAAATCAACAACAACAAAGAAAAAGTAGCAATCACTTCTGATTATGGTCTAGTCTTTAAACGGGGTACGATGATGGTTACTGTCTTGGTGTATTTCACCGCAAACTCTTTAATTAATTTATAATAAATTTTCCAATCACCGCCTGCAAGTCCACAACCAATCTTGAATGGGTACACAATTCATTTGTAAGGGGTGGCTCCTAGTTTATTAAACATTGCTGGAACCATTGTATCCTGTTTTCGACCGTATCTTCATAGGGATGAATTAATCTTTGAAACCGTTTGTTGCAGCGTCCGTAATCATACTGAGCCAGCATGCAGATTATTGCAGGTGAGTTAGGCTGTTGGAATATTTCTATAGTCCCCGAAGTTCCTCTCGTTTCTACAGTGGCCAGGTTCCAATATTGAAGTCTTCTGCGTTTACGGTAAATGTCTGCGAAATGATATTTCTCTGCTATTTGTAATGACAATCCATGCGTTTCCACTGTCAAACAATTTACTTGTTGACAAATACAATCCCCGTCGGGAATGTTTAAAATATCACCGAATCTTAAACGATAAGACATCTTCAAAAATAAGATCACTGTACAATAAAGTTTCTCTACTTAAAAAAAACTGAGTGTCAAAACTTTTCTAAGCGTTTTCACCTTTTCTCTGAAGATATATATATATATATACTTTTGTGTGAATTTAGGTGTGTTGAAATTAATTGAGACGTAGCCTTTCTATGTCTTTAACACTGATGAAATGTCATGTTTCAATGACTTGGGGATATCAAAGTACACGAAAAACTAGGTACCAAACCTTTTTGAAACGAGACGTATATTGTGTATTCAGGTGTGCCATTATGATAAACTGGGTGTTAAAAACCCTTCCCCACATCAAACGTCATGTTGCTGCATTCAGGTACATAAAAAACTGGGTGTCAAGCGCTTTTCAGTGACAAACCAGGCGTATAACATTTTTCGGTGAAAAACAAGGCGTCAAGCGCTTTTCGGAAAAAAAACAAGTCGTCAAAGTTTTTTATGGTTTTTTCTTACTATTATACATACTTTTCGGAGAAAAACAAGTCGTCAAGCAGAAACAAGTCGTATAAACAAGTCGCCAAATCCTACATCTTATACTACTGCCCCGCTAGGCCGGTGCCTGTAGTGATCAGACTGTCCGTCCGTCCGAGATCCCTTGTCGAGAGCAAATCTTCGCTCTCCTTGGCCCAATCTGGCTCATACTTCACCCACAGAGTGCCTTTGGGTAACCGGTGTGCATTGACCTTGAACCATGTTTCTAGGTCAAAGGTCAAGGTCAGAGCAGTATTTTATGGAAAATCCTTGTCTGGAGCATATCTCCCCTCTCCTTGACCCAATCTGGCTATTACTTCACTCACTCTCTGTTTGAAATCTTTTTTGGTGCATAATTTTTTCCCTTTAATTCCAGTATATGTATATAACTCAGGATACAAGATAGCTTCGATATATATCTTTAAATTTGCAATATCCCATAATCCGTGAAGACGAACTAAATGACTTGTACTGTTTTACACAAATGGTCCTCTTCAAAATAAACCGTTTTAAACTACTTTACATTTTCATGTTCATTGTTGAAAGGGGGCCATTTGAGTGCGCCACCATCTCAATGATATCAAGTTTTCGTAGAAACTGGTATCAAATTCCTGTCCATTCCTTTGTCTGTCTGTAACTGAACTTGTGTATATTCATATAAGGATGTATATTCATATTACAGCTGGGGTATTACGAGTGAGTTTTGGCTAAGACTTCTTCTTTATATATTACATATATATTTATATATACACTATAATATTATATATTTTATGTTTCAGGGGTTCTGTCGACAAAAAAGATGAAGAAGCCTTTAGAAAGGACACATAGGTGAACTTAGATCCTTGTTTCCGGCGGCAGCTATGTTGGCATTGAGTGCAACCTGTACACAGAAAATGTTACAGAAAGTTTTAAACATGACAGATTGCCCTAACTTTGTTTCTGTGTCTCCAAATAAACAAAACATCAAGTACACATTTAAAAAGGTTGATCATAACGTCGAGTCATCAATGTTTTGGTTGGTTGAGGGACTTTTGAAATTCAAAGAGAAATTTCCAAGAACACTTGTATATTGTAATTCCATAAAGGACGTTTCCCTCATTTACAATTACATTATTTCTGAGGTTCCAGAACTGTCAAGACACATAGAAATGTTCCATTCAGAGACAACTAACGAGACAAAACTTAATGTTTTTCATCAACTGACTGAAGAAGATTTCATGTTAATACTTTTTGTTGCAACAAGAGCCTTGGGAATGGGTGTTGATGTTTTAGAATGCCATAGTGTTGTTTTGTATGGCCCCCTACCAACCCTGGTAGACTTGCTTCAAGAATGTGGTCGCGTTAGACGGGATGGTAAAGACTCTATTGCAGTTATCCAACATCACTCTTATCAGTACCAACATATGGATGAGGAAGTAAAGGCGGTAGATAAGTCGAGCAAATGCAGGAGAATGGTTATTATGACAAACTTTGTTTCAACAACCGAACTTAATGCAATTGAGAATAGTGAATTGAGAAAACACTCATGCTGTGATTTCTGTGAAAAGTTGTGCAACTACGGTAATTGTAGTGAATTTAAACTGATATTGGAGAAGTGTGTTGATGAGGACATTTTAGAGAGAACAAAATTATTCAACCAATGGATATGAGCATTTCCTTGCTAGAAAATCAGAATCCAGCAAATTAAATGAAGTTAAAAGATTGTTTATTGCGATGGATAAAGAAAACCAAGGATCTCTCCCCCCGGAATCCGTCGACCCGCCAGAAGACAGTCAAGGAGTCCTACCCCGAAGTGGAGCTGTTGGACGGTGGGAATTCGACTTGACTCCTCCCGTTAATTCGGATTTTTCACCAAGTTAGAGACACCAAAGTTGTTACTGAGGAAAAGTTAGTTGCAGATTATGAAATCCAGATACCGGTAATTACAACATTGGATACAGCAAGACAAATGTATTTGAAGAAGATACAAATGTCACTGCCTACGCAATAAGACGGTACTATTAGTGCTATATCAGCTGAACCGACAACAAAACTCGCCTCAGTAAGTTGGAAACCATTATTTTGCAACTGGAACAGTCCGTACAGTCAATTGTTAAGGACGTAATCCTTAAAAGACTCTACGCTAGCCGGAACTGAAAGTCCAAGAGCTACAGCATGATATGTCTACAAAGGAGGCTGACAAAATGGCATTTGGTACCAAAAAAGCCAGTAAGTCAATAACAAGACCTGCTCAAGAAAATCAGCAAGCAAATATCAAATTATTAGATGCGATTCCCTCAGATTGCTTGTCTTCCACCTTGCTCAAATGATAGATATCAAGGCTGTCCTCACCTCACCAGTGAAGGGAATGTTAATTTTAGAAATAAATTTCCAATATGGCTAATGCAGAAACACTATGGAACAAGACCATGTCAAAATCAGAATCCATGAAAAACTACATTAAAAACATTGAGAAGATTTGTATCAGACTTTGATAGAAGGATATGGAAATAACGAACAGTATTCAATCTCAACGTCCATTAAACAAATATACTAAATAAGAGCAGAGCAAACACGGACCTCCGAAACATCAGAGGTGGGATCAGGTGCCATGGAGGAGTGATCATCCCCTGCCGACCGGTCACACCCGCCGTGTGCTCGTTGTCATAATCAGGAAATAACGGAAAAAATCCGTGGTCAATTCAGTGTATAAATAATGGACTAACAATTGGTATGAAAAACATCAGTCAGCATTTCATTCAATGATAAATTGTATTTGCTGACAAGGTCATTGTATCGACCATAGAATTTACTAAATGATGACTTTAAACGAGACTGTTGATATTCTTGTTTCATCAACTTGCTTGTCAATAATTTACCTCGTTTAAGAAATTGTTCATACGTAGAGCATGCTCTTACATATCGAATCAACTGAGATATAAATACTTCGTATGCAGGGAGATGAAGGTACATTGCTGCATAAGTAAGGGAAGTTGACGATAGAAAAGTTAAAGTCATCACGTTTATCATATAGCTTGGTTGTTAGATTACCATTAGTGTCTTTTTCAAGTAAAATATCCAAGTATGAAGCAGAAGTGTCAGACTCTGTGGTATCTTTTATCTCAAGCTCACCAGGCTATATCGTGTCGACGTAGGAATGGAAATTATCAATATTGACAATACGTCGTCGATATATCTAAATGTCGAGTTGAAGGCCACATCAAGTGTTTTCTTCTTTTCACGTAAAAGATTTTGCATAAATTCTGCTTCATATGAATATAAAAATAAGTCTGCTAATAACGGAGCGCAATTTGTACCCATGGGAATTCCAATAGATTGTGGGAATACCTAGTCTCCAAAAACCACATAGATATTGTCAATTAGAAACTCAAGCATCTTCTTGATGTACTTCAGAGTACTTATGTGTGCAATCAGAATCTGTTTTAACAAAATAATTTTTCAAATGACCAATGACGAAGTAAGTAAACTTACAACTTCCATTTTTGTTGAAGAAGCAGCTGTCAATGATATCGAAAAGCCTGGATTTTAATTTGTCGTGGGGAATTGTTGTGTATAAAGTTGAAAAGTTTTTATGCTGTTGATTTTTGTAAAGTCTTGTGATTTCAAATTGTCCAAAAGTTCTTTAGTAAGGGGAAAAGGGCGGTTTTCGTTACTAGTAGCTTTTTTTGTGTCTTATTCGCTGAAATTTTTCAAATCTCTTCCAAGTCTAACATTTTTCCGATGCTAGGGAACATGATTACTCTTTTCCTAAACGCAGCTTTTTTTCAGGTGTACTTTGAAATGACCTCTACAAATCTTTTGATATTTTTTTTTTTAAAGAACTTTGATTAGCATCCTCTTTAAAGGATTTTTCATATTGTTATCCCTTATTCTTCCAACTCTTATCCCTGCTTTCATGTTGTGACATGTCAGAATATATAACATTAGGGTAATAGTCAGAGATAGGGGTGATTTTATATTTCTAAATAAAACCCAATAATTTTATCAAGGAGAAAAAAATCAATGCTAGAATAATTATGAAAAGGAAACAAACATTGTGATATTTTAAATAAAGTGCTGCGCCACAGCATGATACGCCCGTCAAAAAATTACACAATTTTCTTGAACAATTTAGGTGCAAGAAAATCACATCAACCTTGATTCTAAGATTTTTCCATTCCTTAAAATATTTATCCATCCCCTGTGATGTAGGCATCAATTATAATAAATATTACATCACCGATAGATTTCTGTGCTAGTTGTGTTAGACCTTGTCAAATGCGCATCATCAAATTAGTCTTAACAACTTAATCTATACCAAATGAATTCTGAAAAGAAAAGGCTGGCCATCAAATGACCAACAGTTCCTCTGTCTAATCCCCAAAGGGTACAGCTTAATCCGAGCAACTGACACAGCTAGTCTTCCAACATTGAACTCATTAATTAATCTTTAACTGAATGCTTGTCTACTTTCTACTACCAAGAGATGAATGGGTCTGCACTATCTGCTATAATTTTTTTTCAGAAACATAAAATACTCAAAGATTTTTTTTGGTTGAGATTTATCGTCCGACAGGTTTTAATATGTAATTCATGTGGACATGCTGAATCCATCCCATCCAATAAAATTAGTTTTTTTAATTAATTATATTACGTAATATCAGTCTATCATGCAAATCAAATTAGTTTTAATTACTTTTCATTAAATTCATTTTAAAACTTAAGCTAGTCAACAAAAGCTATTTTTAATCAAACAGGCTTACCCATTTGCTCAATGCTCAAGGGATAAAGATAACAGCAATGCTCTGTCAGTTGGCTCCTCGCACTCAAAACCCATTAATTTCTCTATAATTAGACATGCAATTTTCTGTTATCAAAATTCTTCTTGACCAGAGCTTGATAATTACACTCATGGGAGAGGCAGGATTTCTCTGACATACATTATATTTGTTATAGATTGCTGTCAAGTATATGCTTAGAAAAAATAAGTATTTTCTTGATTTAACGTTTTTTTTTAATAAGAACAGTCCAAGACTCTTACATTATTTGGGATGTGTAAATGAATAGTAAAAAGACACATTTAAAAAAAAATCACTTAAATTAAAGGTCACAGTGACCTCGAAATAGGTCGCGACACACCTTCTACCTAAGATGCATAAACTGGCGAAGTTTTGATGATTGTAGGTCTTATGGTTTTCTAGTTATAAACCGGAAAGGATTTTTCCATATTTGGCTATAACTTTTTAATTAAAGGTCAGAGCGACCTACTTTTTGTGCTCGATACACTTTCTACCCATGACGCATCAAATGACAAAGTTTGATAATCCTGGACCTAGTAGTAATAAAGTTATGAGCCGGAAACGAAGAAGCTAACAGACAGACGGACGGACACGAAGCCTATAACATAATACGTCCCGTCTTAAAATGGGCGTATAATAATCAAAGAGAACCCCTCAGGGCCAACTATATATCGTGATATAGAATTTTAATTATCAGGATAAGGCAAGAAATTACAGTGTATATTTTGAAAAACCCCCGTCATCCAAGCGATAGTGAGTGACTTTCTATGTTTTCTTTGCAGCTTTTTTTCCAATCAATAATCGCTGGTTGTTTAAACTTTTCGTGTGGAACGTAGTGAAGTCAGCTGAGGATTGTCGATTGATAAATTGCAGCTTACACTGGGACTTCACATCCGCAAAGCAACATTTTTTTTTAACTTTTTTAAAATTTTTTTAGCTCTTCTGAGCCAAAGGCTAAAAGAGCTAATGCTATGGCCATTTATGCGATGTGCGTCGTGCGGTGTGCGTTAACTTTTTAGAATATGGGCCATAAATCAAGAACCCCTTGGCCAATCAGTGTCAAATTTGTCACAGGGTATCCTTGGCCCAAGGGCTACCATTTATACTAAAATAAGGGTTGGGACCCTTAAACAAGGGGAGATAATCAGGAAAACAAAACAAAAAGCACTGGTTGCTAAAAAATCTTCTTCTCCAGAACCACCAGGCAGATGTTCACCAAACTTACATACAAGGATCAGGATATGTTGAAGATTAAAAATTGTTCAAGGCATGACCCTGGGGCAAAAGGCGTGGTCTCAAGGTCACTTTAAAGTTGACCTAAATTTACAATTAATAAAAATGTTTCATATTTTGCTTACTATTAGGACTAGGATCATCAAATCTTGTAAGTTGATACATCTTAAGACTTCACATCATGTTAACTCAAAAGTAGGTCACGGTGACCTACTTTTTAAATTTTGCGGGCATTTTTTTCAAATTGATTTAAAGGCATATTTTTGATACTTTAAGGCTTATGATCATCAAACTTAGTCAGTTGATGCATTTTGGGTCCTTGAACAATGTCAACTTAAAAGTAGTTCACCGTGACCTACTTTTTGAACTTTATGACTTATCCTTTTCAAAACATTTTAATCCCATTATTTCAGGCACTGAAAGGGTTCGAATCATCAAATCTTGTAAGTTGCTGCATCATGGGACCTTAAAAAATATTTTAAAAAAAGGAGGTCACTGTGACCTACTTTTAGAATTTTGCAGGCATTTGTTTTCAAATTGTTTAAAAGGCATATTTTGATTACCTTTAAACCTATGATCATCAAACTTAGTCAGGAGATGCATCTTGTGAATCTGAAAAATGTTGACCAAAATGTAGG